TCTGCTTCTGGACTCTGACCTCGTTCTAGGATTTAGGTGTTGTGTGCACACCAGTTTTACAGCTCAGGCTTATTTGAGCACTGACTGTTGGTTCCCCACCTCTCAGGCAGATGTACAACGACCTTAAGGGAATCACGATTAAGTAAACCTTTCTGTATCAGATGACATATCTGAAGGTATTCAACACAAATTTATCAATAAATAACATAATATAGTACAGAACATGCAGCACAGGAGAGAAGGGACATTTTTTATTTATTACCTCTTTCAGTGCCAAGCAGATTTTTACTGAAATCCTTTCTACCTTCAGGAAGCTGAGGTTAAAACTCTATGAAGTTTACTTGACAGGGACAGAAGAAGCTAATGAAGTTTACTCGACAGGGACAGAAGAAGCTAATGAAGTTTACTTGACAGGGACAGAAGAAGTTAATGAAGTTTACTTGACAGGGACAGAAGAAGCTAATGAAGTTTACTTGACAGGGACAGAAGAAGTTAATGAAGTTTACTTGACAGGGACAGAAGAAGCTAATGAAGTTTACTTGACAGGGACAGAAGAAGCTAATGAAGTTTACTTGACAGGGACAGAAGAAGTTAATGAAGTTTACTTGATAGGGACAGAAGAAGCTAATGAAGTTTACTTGACAGGGACAGAAGAAGTTAATGAAGTTTACTTGACAGGGACAGAAGAAGCTAATGAAGTTTACTTGACAGGGACAGAAGAAGCTAATGAAGTTTACTCGACAGGGACAGAAGAAGCTAATAAAGTTTACTTGACAGGGACAGAAAAAGCTAATGAAGTTTACTTGACAGGGACAGAAAAAAGCTAATGAAGTTTACTTGACAGGGACAGAAGAAGCTAATGAAGTTTACTTGACAGGGACAGAAGAAGCTAATGAAGTTTACTCGACAGGGACAGAAGAAGCTAATGAAGTTTACTTGACAGGGACAGAAAAAGCTAATGAAGTTTACTTGACAGGGACAGAAGAAGTTAATGAAGTTTACTCGACAGGGACAGAAGAAGCTAATGAAGTTTACTTGACAGGGACAGAAAAAGCTAATGAAGTTTACTTGACAGGGACAGAAGAAGTTAATGAAGTTTACTCGACAGGGACAGAAGAAGCTAATGAAGTTTACTCGACAGGGACAGAAGAAGCTAATGAAGTTTACTTGACAGGGACAGAAAAAAGCTAATGAAGTTTACTTGACAGGGACAGAAAAAGCTAATGAAGTTTACTTGACAGGGACAGAAGAAGCTAATGAAGTTTACTCGACAGGGACAGAAGAAGCTAATGAAGTTTACTTGACAGGGACAGAAAAAAGCTAATGAAGTTTACTTGACAGGGACAGAAAAAAGCTAATGAAGTTTACTTGACAGGGACAGAAAAAGCTAATGAAGTTTACTTGACAGGGACAGAAAAAAGCTAATGAAGTTTACTTGACAGGGACAGAAAAAAGCTAATGAAGTTTACTCGACAGGGACAGAAAAAAGCTAATGAAGTTTACTTGACAGGGACAGAAAAAAGCTAATGAAGTTTACTTGACAGGGACAGAAAAAAGCTAATGAAGTTTACTTGACAGGGACAGAAGAAACTAAACTAATAACTCAGTTATAAAGGGTGAATATAGAATTTGCCTATGGTAGAAAACATTCAGAACGCTGTAATTTTTTTTTTAAATGGCCACAGAATGCAAGATGCCCTGTTTGGTACTGAAGGAGTTTTTAACTCTTCGAGTCTCAAATAACGCATGGTGGGTGAATCACCCTGTCTGCCAAATCTCATACTTAGCGTAATATGCTCTCTTACTTTTGTATTTGGTCAGAGCTCACTCAAGAAATCTGGCTTTTCCAATAGTCATGGGTAGTTATATGACCACTCTACTGACAGTAGTTCAATGATGAATTTTAATCACCGATACATCTTTACTGGCATCTCCAATGAAACCTTTCCTGGTACTTAAAGAGATAAAGAAAGCAGTCCGCTTGCACTGGGAGATCAACTGCACACAGACACACACACACAAAAGGTTAGGGGCTAGAGCTAAGAAATGGAAACAAGTTGCGGATGCTCTCATCCGGAATGTGACAGGATTTTAACAAACAAGTGACCAAAAGCAATAGTTTAGAATGAGCAAAGACAAAATAAAACAGCTGCCCTTTAACACAGGTTACCAGTGAATTTGTGAAGCTTACTATATGGCGTATAACGTCAGGCTCCCCATACTTCAAATACAAATTATTATTTTTTAAAATTTTCAAATGAAATTAGGAAAACTGTGGCAAAGCTATAGGAATGCATTAAACAAGAAGAAAAATTAAAAGTTTCAGCTAACAACTTTGCAAAGACTACAAACACAAACAATTAAAGACACTGCAATGACAAAATTTCACTAACAAACAAGATTTAATTATTTTTGTTTCCTAACACATTTTTGTCTCATCCCATTGTTTTTGGGGTGTACAGTTGTTAATGTACCTTTTGGCAAAGCTGACGTGGTGAACTAGTTTCTTCTATTCACCATCTTACAGAACATGCCATGTGGTGTCGGTAGTCCTGTCCATCTTCACATCAGGGCGACTGTCACGAGCCCCAACATATAATGCTCCTTAATACAGTGCAACGCAACAATCCATGGGCCACTTACTAGGCCTCTGCAGGCCAAATGTGACCCATGGGCCACCAGTTGAATAGCCCTGATCTACATGGTCATGCCTCATGTACCACTGATCATTTCTAATACAGATACTCTTCCACGCCATGATGTTAAACTATCCAACGTGTTTCCCTTAGTGTTCCTTTACCTCTGTCTCAAACTTTCCTATTATCATGACATACCCAATGTGTGTCCTCTTCTGATGCAGGTTATCAGTTCTCTTCCAGGGTAATTTTTATCAAGCCGTATTCATCCTGCTTTTTATCTGCCTCATCCTGCTTTTTATCTGCCTCATCCTGCTTTTTATCTGCCTCATCCTGCTTTTTATCTGCCTCATCCTGCTTTTTATCTGCCTATCGGGATCTCATCATCATTTTAAAGAACCTCATTTCTGTACCCTCCACACATTATTTTTATTCACTAACTGGCTGACGGTCCATGACTCACTTCCATACGTCCGATTATTCATTTTATTTTCAACATTTCAAATATTTCCTATACAAAAACATTAGCAACAATAAGATGGATTACACCCACTGACAAAAACAAGAAAGAAAATTCAGTACTAGACAATGCCAATAACACATAACTTCTATGGCTGTAGTGTTACAGGTATTACTGTTCTATTATGCAAGGTACAGCAGTTTTGAATGGATTCTTCTGCTTCACTGTCTGTGACTTAGGCATTGCGAAAGAGCTTCGTAATGCTGGGGTGCCAGATTCGATCCCAGCTGCAGGCCTTGCGCTGGTTCAACGGTGGTATTGAGAAGCTGACCGTCCAGAAAGCAATGGCAAACTACTGGATGTAAATTTGCCAACAAAAACCACAATAGCCACAAAATGCTGAGGTTGGTTCCGCAACATCCTGTAAAGGATAGGCAACTAACTTACCTGGTCTCACCAACATATTCATGGTCAATGCCAGGAGTGTTCTATACTACACAAACCAATCTCCACTCTCAAACAGTGTCCCTAAACTACTGTCTGTCCATACTGAATCCTTTAATCTCCAACTTTACCAGTCACATTTTATTTCTAAAGGAAGTTTTCAAACAATTTGTGCTGGCATGTTAAATATAAACACAGATGTGCACATTGTCAATCCACAAATGGCATATTTTAAAGTTTAACAGCAAAAATGTATTAAACAGGAATTAAATGAACTTACATGAAAAAGACATGCATCCACTCTTTCTATCTCAGACATGTAATATGCATGGTTTAATTTAAGAAACACAACATTCACAATATGCACAATTGATGTTAAAATATTTAAGTGAAATCTAAGCTAAGGTAAATCAAGTTTTCAAGAGACCAACATCTGTAGTTGGACACAAATGAAACATGCCACAATGTTTAGGTCATCCGTATACAATTGGCACACATAAAGTATAGTTTTTTTTTTCTAAACTACTAATTTGATGCCACACTCAAAACAAACTTTTCATAGAATTCAAAAACTTACTGAAATCAAGTTAGAAAAAAGTAAATATCTTGAGCTAGTATGACAAAACGGTTCAGGAATGCAAGGCCAAGTTGATAACATACTGGGCTCTCATGAAGGAAACTTTAATACAAAACCTTTGTAAAGTTTTTTTTTTTCTTCTTTTAATCAGAAACAAAAATAAAACTGTAACCCACATATCTCCCTGTGACTGCAAAAGCCATCCTAAATCCTCAATCAAGACCCCTCTGTGGTTATTAAAGGCAATAAAGATAGCAAGCCAGCAGTTTTAATTAACTAACCCCCTGTCCCAAGCAGCATGTGAGGTGTGATTGACCCTTTCCTCTGATCCCTAGCCATCCCAAAATGTGTCCTCTTATTTATGTTACCTTTGGTCTATCAGGCCACAGAAACCTGGCTTCCCAGTAGCCACTTTCACTATGCATTGAATTTCTTTAAAAGTGAGGATACATAACTTTTCTGTGATTTGCCACAATGGGCGTCTGTTGTGAAACATTATGGGACTGAAAGAATTAATGTGACTGGATGCGAATAATATAAAACTCAATCTGCTAACAGCAGAGTAGAAGAAGTGTTTGGCCTTAACTTCTACATGAATTATCAGCAGGAGAAATAAACCAAATATAAAACAAACAAACCAATTCATTGGTGGGATTAAGTAACAAATGACACAGGTTTTATCAAAAAGTATTTAATTCCATACAAGTTTGATCGTCTTTACAATCGTTGAATTCCATATCATTTGAAAAGCTATTCTGACCAGTCTGACTGATTGAAATACTAGGCTAACAAAAATCCCACTGATGCAAAATATACAGTAATGTTGACACTACAGTGTGTGAATTGATTGATCACAGTGAACCATAATTTGGCTAGAGGAAAATTACTGATCATTCTCCATAGTTGCACTTGTCACCTGAAATGAGAATTATAAATGAAAGAACTGTAGCTTTATTAGAAACAGATAATACGAATTTCTTTTTAACCCTACCAGACCGCTCTCCCGTTTTTCCGGGAATTTCATAACTGTTCTGTATACCGCTGGCCCTAAATTTCGGCTGTTTGCATAGTGCGTGAAAAAGATGCGTCAATGACTAAAAATAACCAACCAATCGTCGTCAGTCCGCTTTGTTAGAGATTGCAAGTGGCTTCCCCGTGTGTGTGAATCAATTTTTTGTGTTTTAACGTGAAAAAATTTAGAAAATTCAGAATGAAGCGAGCGGCTGATGAACCAAGTTCTAGGCTTTTCACAGTCCAACAGGTGATCGATACTTTGGTTTATTCAGACTCTGTGATACATATATATATATATTCATTATCTGTGATAATTTCATAAAGAATACGTTCTTGAAATGACACTGTCAGTGAGAGCGCAAATGATGAGGAAAATCTTGAAAATTATCAATCTTGAAATAGATCGATAGTAGGAGGAGGGGGTGTGTCCATCAAACAGCAACATCTGGTGTTCACTTTGTGAAACAAAGTTGATCCTGATGAGTGAATTCGCACACAAAGGTGGAATATTGGTGCTAGATAAAAGGTAAGCCTATTTTCTACAATTACAATGTCTCCAAGTTTCATCATATTCTAGCCACTCGTTTGCAAGTAACTAATATTTTTTTATATCAGGTTGGTTTTTTTGTGGTAATGCCCAGGAGCTCAGGTTATAGGGACAGTTAGGTTCAGGGCCTTAGGTCTGGTAGGGTTAAAAACTTTACAAATTAAAATAAAAGGGAGCTATATGTAGGGGCACAATGACAAAAACAAACCCACACCACAAATGCATCAGGAGCATGGCAGACAGCCGGAACAGATGGAAAAATGTAGCCTTTCCCAGGGTCTCCCCTCTCTGTCACATGGCAGCAAAAACCTCACTGGTCCAAACAACCGACAGACATGGGTTACAATACCAATTGCCCCAAGAACAAGTCCAAGCAGCAAAGAACAAGGTCTAAAATATAACCATAGCTTACACAGATTGGTGTCTGTGGCTTAGGCGTTGCGAACGAGCTTTGTAATGCCGGGTTCGAAACCAGAAGTCGACGATTTGTCTTGCGTTGGTTTCGACAGTAGTACAGAGAGCCGACCGTTAAGAAAGCACAGGCAAACTACTGAATGTAAAATTTGCCTTAAATAACCACAACAGACAAAAATGCTGCAACATACTGTACAGGTACGCAATTTTAAAAAAAAAAGCTTATAGAGGAGCGGGTTGAATGAGACCGATGCCGCCACCCCACCCCCCCCCCCCCCCCCCCCCCCCCCCCCCCCCCCCCCCCCCCCCCCCCCCCCCCCCCCCCCCCCCCCCCCCCTCCCCCCCCCCCCCCCCCCCCCCCCCCCCCCCACCCCCCAACCAAGATCTGTTAGAAATGAGAACAACTAAAATAATTACTAACAGACTTCAAACATGTGCAAATGGGACAGAATTAAATGCTATGACAAAATCACAAATCTATAGCTTTAGGACAGAACTAAAAAATTAAAGTGATAATTTACCCTATCGATCTTCAATTATCGTCTTCTACCTTTGTCAGTAAGTATCGTGCGGAGGAGCCGTGGGTGATCCAGCAACACTCAATGATGACACTACTGTCATTCCATGTTAATCCTTAATCCATTCACCTGTTCTTTATTGGATTTTGTTTTCAGCTATAGTGCCCATGCTGTTAACTAGTGTTGGTGCATTTCTACAAGACACTCAAACTACCTGATCACTTGTTTCTTAGCATATCCTGCACCACAAGCTGTTCCTGAATGCAGTATGCCATTTGTTTCATCATCCCATTGTGCTTTTAGACATCATACAGAGCTTGCAGTCTTGTCTTCCATTCTGTAGTGTCCTGTGCAATCCTTCTCACTGCATGGAGGGAATGATGCCCAACATCTTCAGCCTCTCTCAATAACATTTGTCTCAGGGTTTCTCTTGAACATCCTTGTTTCCATTTATCTTCTCCACCTGTAAACTCTGGTTGTTCATCCACTTCTGAACCTTAGTCTTGTTCCAGGCGTTGAGCTTTGCACACACATCAGTTTTATAGATCTTGAGTATTTTTATTCAGACTGTTGGTTCTTTGCCTGTCAGGCAGATGCACATCGACTTTGAAGGAAACATCCCCAATTAGACGCAGTGGGTCTATTTTTGTTTCCCCACACTGCAGCCACAGAACCCACATAGGGAGAGTTTCTTCAATCAATTTTTTCTCCCCACACTGCAGCCACAGAACCCACACTGGGAGAGTTTCTTCAATTAATTTGTCTCCCCACACTGTAGCCCCAGAACCCACATAGGGTTCTTCAATTAATTTGTCTCCCCACACTGTAGTCCCAGAACCCACATAGGGTTCTTCAATTAATTTGTCTCCCATTTCAGTGCGTGTTTGGTGATTTGTTTGTCTGATTCTCCTCATGATGTGTCTAATATACCGCCATTTCGTTACCTTGTAACAGATGACACGAGTCAAGACATTTCTCTAATTATTCAATCAAAATCAACAGAAAGTTACCTGCAAAATGGCAATAATAAGTCCAAAGAGACCAATAGCTGAGCCAAAGATCTCAATGATCAAGATCTTCACAAACAAGGAAGCGTTGGCAGCATCAGCAAGTGCAGCACCTGACCCAACAACTCCAACACAGATACCACAAGCCAAGTTGCAGATCCCAACAGTCAATCCAGCTCCAAACATTTTAAAACCTGCAGTAATAAACAAAAACAATCAGTTCAAGAGGTTCTGATGATGTTCAACATTAAAATAGTTGCTAGTCCCCACAGGATGGGGGGATGTGGGGAGAGGGGAAGAGATTACTGCTCAATAGCAAGCATGTAAAAAGCAACTAGTTTTGAATTTTCTTAAATTGAACATGTTGGGCTGAAAAATGCAGAAATCCCATCCCAGCTTTAAACCACAACACAATCCATTTAAGCATAAATGCAGGAGAAGAAAAGAGTAAATAAAATAAACATAAGACATTAAGAGATACAAGAAATTCTTTGACCAAATTAAAAGAATGGGGGTGTGGCTAGTTGCTTCACTGCAGGCTAGAAGGTACTGAATTCATATCCCTGACATGATGGATCTTTAAAAATACACCTCCCAGGTTGACCCAGCCTTGCGGACATGCTAACCCTTTGAAACTAAATTGTATACTATTTAATTTCTACGTTCTGGTATGGTACAGGGTGTTATATTGAAGAACTTAGATCGATAAAATACTGTCAAACTGACCATGCACTCGATGGCTGCAATGGAAATCGATACATACAACGGCCATATTGGATTTCTTGCAATATGTCTGAAACCGCCATTTTTTTATGTGCAGGCTCAATTACTTACCATTTTTTTCTACCTAACTTTTAAAAATGTAACATATTTTTAGATTGCTGCTGCACAAAACTAAATCTTAGCTTCACAAACGCTCTTGTATTTGCATAGGTAATGAAATGTTAAATAAGTGTACAATGTTTCATTATAATCAGACAAGCAGGGTTTGAGAAAATTTACCGCAAGCCGAAAAACTCAAAATGAGAAAATGGAGGGAAAATGAATTTTTTTCATGTTTTATTATACTAACAAAGTTATTTTCATGATTTAACATGTTATTTTACATAGAAAAAACACTTTCTGATATTAGAGCATCATTAGAAAAACTCTGCTGCACATGCAGGACCTCCCTCTATGGCATGTAGTTCACCTTGCCTCTTCAGTTTGGCAGCTAGTACACTGTGGCATCTCTTAGTTTGCTTGTCCTTCTCTGACTTCAAGCTATTTCTAACTCTCTTCTGCATACTAGATGCTCCTAGTCTCTTCACATTCAGGCCTGTAAAAAATCCGAAACAGTTCAACTTTCGTACTGTTGCTTCTCAAGACACTGTCCAGTTTTTGGGGATTTTATGTGACTTGAGGCATTGCATCCGCCTCGAGTGCTGGAGGTCCCGGCTTTAAGCCCCGGTGAAGACTGGGATTTTTTCCCACATGGACTTCTAGTAATTTCCCCTGGTTTCTGGATAGTAAGATCATCACCGGTGTTTATTTTTGCCAGCACATTAAAGACTATCAACTGGAAAGACAGAACTGTGCCAACAACAAACACTGTTGATGGAGACTTACCTGCAGCGTAGTTTTTATAGATAACGTCATGCTTTGTCAGTATGCTCATATCTACACCCTGAAATCAAAGAAATAAAACTGAAAAACTCCTCTTAAATTATTTTATTTTTATTTTCTGTTCATGTTATAAATTTTAGCATTATGCTCTTCTGAAATGGCGTTTCACAGCTGAGCAATGTGATATCTGCATTTTTCGGCCCAACACGTCTGATTTCAGCAAATTCCTAATTAGTCAGCTTTTAGGACATGTTTGTTGGGGGCAGTGTGTCTATTCTTCTCCCCCTCAAAACAGGACCCAGGAACCCACACAGAAAACTTGCCTGTACATAAATGTCAGCCTTGTCTGAAAGAGTATCTCAACCAACCAATCCATCAATCTATACAATTTCAGTTTCATTTCTATCTATAATGGCAGCTGTGACCGATTTAGGGGCGAGGAAGCAGATGATATTGATCACAGTTTTCAACATGCTGACAAAAAGGCAGGTAGATGTAATCAGGATGCACTTGGCACAGTCAGTATTGGAACTCTGTTGGCTTCTGAGGAAGCACTTGTGGGAATGTCCCTGAGTGCAAATGCACCAACTGTTGATTCATTCATGGAAATGATGGCAACTTTCCACAATTCTTCTATGTGTTTTCTATTTAAAACAATCTTGTGCATGTCATTCTTATGAAGCAGCTTGTGTTCTGCAGCGACCCACTGAGTCACTTAGCCATGAACACTGGAGTGACGACCACCCCACAAATCAGTGCACAGCAAGATATAGAAGTAGAACATTTGTATAACAAGATGCCATGAGAAGGTCACTTTCCACAACGGATGACCAGTTTGCATTGGGGCTGGCAAAGTGCCTTATGCAATAATACTTTATGTGTACATATTCTAATGACTGACTACTTTTATCAACAAAAGTAATGCAATTCTGGTAGTGACTGTTAGTGTTGGCACCTTTAATGGCTGCCCTATGTATACATTTCTGAATTTTACCAGGACTAATTATAATTGTTTGTTCACTAGTTTATAGAAGGGACAGTGAGGATATTTCGTGTGATTCTGCCACAGGAACAGATCAATTATGGGGGTGGCCCGTTTGCAGTGATGCTGACGCCTCATCTACCGACTATTACTTTCTGCAGCAAAATAATGTTATAATATCCAAGAAAAAGCAGACTTTCCACAGATGTGTGCAGAAATGTGATAGTAGCTACTGAAGAATCTAGAATGAATCATTTCCACTACTTAGGTGTACTGGTCATATAGTGCTAGACCTATAATTTATAAACCAATTGGCACCCGGTGGGTAACAAATGTGGTCAACATCATGACGGCTGCCTTTACTTCCCAGGACTTTACCGACTGCCAATTTTAGACAGGGTCGACTTGGGAGCCAAAATCATTTTTGAAGGAAAAAACTTCATGCAGATTTGAACTCACAACTTTTAGGCCTGCAGATGAGCATCCAGCTGCTATGCTACTGTGACTCTGATTTATGAACATGTGTCACTTAAAAACAATCAATAGCTATCAAATTCCATACTGATCACAAGTCTGAATCTGTAATGATGTGTGTAATCTAATGTGGGTCATAAAGTGGGATGTCAGCTCGAGGTCTCTTTGGGTCTCCTCAAAGGATAAGAACTAGTTCTATGCCTGGCAAACTGCACTAGCTATCCTCAAGCTCAAAGGTCTCCCTACATAGCCAAATGTGGTAAATATAGGCAGAAATGGCGGTTCACGCCTGGCTCTATAAGACTGTGCATTCTAGGTCACTGGTAACAACTGAAAGGCGAAAAAAATAACTTGAGTAACATATCTGGACAAAAAAGATGCTAAAATGCAGGTAGCTAAAGAGACTAAAGTGACAGCGGCTGGTAGCGGTCAACAGTAAACACATTAGTAAAGGATAGGTTTATTTTTCAGCAAGATGTTTATGAATAAAGGAGCCGAAGCTTTATTACACACTTTTGGGAAAAGCCTTATGATAAATACCCAATCACAAAACAAAAAAATCTTTATTTCTAAAGGGTTACAAATTGGGCATGCAGGCCTGTCTTATATTTGACCCTTTCAAATGTTTCTCTCTCAATCTACAATAGTATTCCATCTAGAAACATTATATTAATATAGCATTACACATAATATTAACAGCAAGTAAAAACATATCATGCATGACAAATGTGCACATTTATATACACATGTACATATATACATACACCCTAAACACACAGGGAGTTGCCGTGGCAGAGTGGCCAGACGCACACTGCAGATCTGAAGGTCGTGGGTTCGCTCCCTGGCGGAGCCTACTTTTCTTTTTAAAAAATGACCTTGGCTCCAAGGTCGACCTAGCCTTGAGTGGGTACCGGGTGCAGTCCCAGGAAGTAGAGGCGGCCGGCGTGATGCTGACCACATCACCCACCTTGTGCCGTTGGTCTGTAAAAATATAGGTCTAGCCCTATATGCCCTATACGCCTAAAGGCGTGGAAAAGGGTCCTTTACTTTTTTTTTTACTAAACACACAACATACATGTATACATACATACTACGCATGCACATGGTGATATACACCTACATTTAAGCATTTATCCTCACACCTTCACATATACAAATGTATAATTATTCACTCAGGCTCATACATAAATACACAGTCAAACATACACACACAAACACACTGATGGTGATATTTGCAGTAATGAAACTCGAGGGCTGAGAATGCTGGAAGAAAGCTGGTTAAGGGCAGATGATTCGGTAGGGTATCAAGAGCAGCAGTAGAAGTAGCACATGGTACTTACAGTCAGGTTTGTACTGATGACTATGGCCATGATAATGCCATAAATGGCTACAGCCTCACAGAAGATGATGCTGATGAGGTTCTTTGTCTTGATACGTGGTGTCTTGACACCTCCGCCAGCAATGCTGACTCCGGTTGTGTAGATGCCCCTAGCAACCATAAACATCAAACATTCAGATCTCAAAGAAGCCATTTTCTTTAAACAATAATAGTAGGTGTTGTAACCCATTTTATACAATCCACCAATACAGGTCCAGATTCAATCCCTAGTTTGGTGGAGGATGTATTTTTAAATCCTACACGGCTCAGAAGTAAACTTCATAATATATCGTAGGGGCGGGTGGGTGTGTGCGCGCGTGAGGGTGTGCGTGCATGCATGTGTGTATGTATGAATGCATGTTTATATGTGGATATATATATATATATATATATATGTGTGTGTGTGTGTGTAAGTGCGTGTGCGTGTGCAGAAGCAAGTGTGTGCATGCATTTTACCACCCATGTTTTTGCTTCTTTTTCATAATATGCATTTTTATTATATGAACATAGATTGCTTTATTGATCAAATACAACCGCTGTATAAAAGATAGGGGTTTGGAAGGGCCAAATGTAAGAAGACCGATCTGTGCGATCAATTTGTAACCCTTTGAAAATAAAGTTAGTTTGTTTGTTCAAGGTGTCTGGTCTAGAGTAGGTATCAGGAATCGTGAATCCAGTCTTCTCTGCAAACATGTTTGTGTATCTGTCTTTTTCACACCCCTCTTAGTTGCAACTTGTTTTTATTCATTCTTTATATCAGCTTAGGGAGCTACCTGGTCTTGAGGCAGGGTGTCCGCCTCAAGTGCTAGAGGTCCTGGGTTTAATCCCCGGTAAGGGCTGGGATTTTTTCACGTGGACTTGGACTTCTAGTAATTCCCCCTGGTTTCTGGGTAGTGAGATCGGACGCCCGTGTGCATTGTTGCGCACATAAAAAAAACTGGAAAATGAAAAGAGTAGTCTAGGGGCACTGCCGGGCAAAATTCGGAGTTAAAATCTATTCAAAGTATTTCAAGATCCTTGCTGGTGCTAAAGAGCCTGTGCACTGTGCTGAGCTTCTTTTGACTCAGACTTGAGTTAGAAAAAGAATGGAGCACTTATGGGTTACACCTGTGTGCCATGATGTTGAACCGTTGTTCACAACATCAAAACCTTATATCATCTTGTCAGCAGTCCCCCTTCCCCATCAGGCAGCTAAGGTATGGCTTATATTCTGTGATTTTAATATCATATATAAGATGATGATGTTCATCTTAACCCTGTCATCCTGAGAAGCCAGAAACCAACACTTCCAGTTGGACTCAATCCATGCAAATGTTGCTTTACCAACTTGCTGAAGTAGATGTACATCTTAACCCTGTCATCCCGAGAAGCCAGAAACCAACACTTCAGGTTGGACCCAATCCACGCAAATTTTGCTTTACCAACTTGCTGAAGTGACGGATAAGTGAAAAGCTTAGTTACTGTCAATGGTTGTGTCTGTGCCTGTGCAGTTCTTAAGAGGTCAGGACATTTACTTTTTTTAAAAATAGAATGGGGGAGGGGGTCTTGTGAACCAAAAGGCTCTTATGAAACCAATCTGCATCATAACTTTCCCATTGCTTTAGTTTCAGAGGTCACTGCATGTGTATATATATTTTTTATGCTCCAGGGAATGTATTCCATGACCACTTAAGGCTCTTTTTAACTGGCCCAAAAATCAGTCGACCCCAGAACTGTAGGCTAGGTCAGGTTCTGCCACAAATAGCTTTCAATGACCACAGGCAAAAAAGTGTGGACACTTTAAACAACATCAGGTTCAAGGCGAGGACTATCTCCCACTCATAAAGGAAGAAAATAAGGGGCTTCTGAGCTGAAATGCTATAGGAAATTATTAGAATACCATGAAACAAAACAAAAATAGTGACATCCTGAAATATCTCTACATTTAGGGAGACTTGGCAAGTAAACAGCATCTTGTCTCAGAAACTAAAATATTTTGGCCATAACAAGCACCACTGGAAAGAATAACAGCAGGAGGCATGGTACCAAGAAAGAGGGGCAGGTGTTAACCAGCACAAAGATGGGCACAGGATATAAGTGACACCTAACAGTGCATGAGACGAGACAGGAGAGCTGGCAAGAGACTGAGTTTCTTTCAGACAGGCTGTGATGAGGGCCATGTTCTGCAGTGGACTTGTTATGTGATGACGACACTTGATACTTCAAAGATTTACATTATGAACAATTAGATGTTAATGTATGAATCACATGAAATCACATTCACAAAGGTGAACTCACCAAGCTGCTCCCACAACTGATAGGGAAATAGCCATGCCGACTCCAATCAGGGCCCACATGTAAGGAGAAGTTGAAGTCAGAAACCTGTAAAAATGTGTCAGACATATTTACAATTTAATCACTTTTTGTAACTGTAATTCTTTCTATTTAAAGTAGTAGTCAGTATTAAAGTGTCCAACTGACCTGCAAAACGGGGTGACATTGTGCGAAAAACAAGAAGACCCAATGCCTCCCCAACAAGAGTCGACTGACTGGGGGCTTCATTCAGAGTTGGAAGTGCATCTACCTGAGCGGAAAGGAACCACCAGTTGCATACAAATAAGCATGATCTATTAAATGGATGAACACTGAAAAATCAGGTCCTGAAACCAAGCCGAAGTCTAGAAATGGATGAACAACCAGGTTTTTCCGTCAGGGTTTAAAGCCCGTGAGCTCAAACAACAATCAACAGGGATATTATGTTTTCTTATTTGCAATGTCCTTATCAGGGCATGCTCAATTACTGCCTTTACTTCCCCATAGAAGTCTGATAAAGCTATTCAGGCTGGTTCTCTACTGGGAACTAACTCATTCAGTACCAAGAAATGTGCCATGCATTCAACAGGACATCAAACATTATGTTTTTATCCACCTCTTGCGTCCCTTGCCAGATGTCATGTTAACCCATTTTTTTCAACTTATTATGTCCGGTCATGGTATCATGATATCATATGAACCATTTTAGACAATAACATCACTAATTAGGCAAAACAAACAAGAGACAAAGTTTTGAAACAAGATTTTGCATGGAGTTATGCCAGCACTATGCAACTAAGACATTACCCTAACCACAGCTTTGAAAGTACAACCTACTGCTAATCATAATATTCTAATATTTGTGGAATGGTCCCAGTGAAGTGAAAGGAAGTCTTCCAATGCAGTAGCATAAATCTACCGGTGTGTTATCAGGGCCTATAACAGAAACAAAGACTACAAAACCTGAAAGTTAACTCTCAATATGTAACTAACAACCGAGCTTTGCATCAGACCGACTAAGTCTTCTGGACTGAAGAAAACAAACAGGATAAAAACATAAACAAGACATATAGAGAATATACAAAATGGGAAATATAACAAGATAAAATGAACTGGATAAAATGGGTGTTGATAAGAAGGGGACACAATTAGTGGTTAGTGAGGACTATAATCACAGTACTCCAGACAGATCCACAGGTGCTCCATCTCCTCCTAAATAGCTTCACTAGAGTACAATGACTGATCACACTTGTTCTATGTTGATTAATCAGATGTCTTCTGCCCTTATGAAATGTCCATGTCTGGCTGCTCCCATTTATATCCCCCATGCCCACCAACCTAGGTGAGACACTGAGTCTTGCTTGTTGTCATGAGCTTTTTCATGATTCGCATCTCACATGGCACTAATGACATCACTCTTGTCCAGACTGGACACAATTTATAAGAGGAACACTTAAGACAGGCCAATGTTATCTGCTTTAGTGAAATCCATGCATTACACAAAGTAAGTCCTTCTCTCTTGACATATTAAAAAAATGTGTATGTCCTGCTGATTAGTCCTTTTGTCTCCGGAATTGAAAGACATTTGCTAACCACTCTGTCACCCATTTATTTATTTGAAGAATAAAAAGTTAGCTGCGAAACATTTACAGGACGTTGCAGAACCAACCGCAGCATTTTTTTTTTCGGTGTTGTGGTTTTTATAGGCAAATTTTATGTTCAGTAGTCTGCCATTGCTCTCTGAACGGTCAGCTTTCGGTACCACTGTCGAAACAACGCAAGACAAACCGTCCGCAGCTGGGATCGAACCCGGCACCCCGGCATTACGAAGCATGTTCGCAACACCTAAGCCACAGACGCCAAGTGAAGAAAAAACACCCAACTAATTTTAGGTTTTAAAATACTAAACTACTGAAAGGTCACACTGTAACATTTAACATTATTTACAAAAAGGACGTTAAATCATAATAAGAAAAGTTTAACAAAACAACCACAAAGATTTCTAAAACCATATCCACATGAAACAGTCCCAATAAACAGCCAACTCTACATATAAATCATTTTTTAGTACAGGTTATACCTTTACAAATCTTACTCTCACAGCCTTAAAACGGGGAGCCACTGTGGTTTAGCAGCTAGATGCTCACCTGTAGATCAGAAGGCTGTGGGTTCAAATCCAGGCAGTGCTGGACTTCTTTTTTAAAATTACCTCTGCTCCCAGGTCGACCCAGCCTTACATGGATATACACGGGTACCAGGTAAAAGTCCTGGGAAGTAAAGGCAGCCGGTATGATGTTGACCACATCACCCACCAAGTGCCAGTTGGTCTATAAAATAAAGGTCTAGCCTCCTTGCCCAAAACACTTGGAAAAGGTTCCTTTTTTACAGCTTTACTACTCAAAACATCAGTGAAATTATATTTTTTTTTTAATGGCATTACCATCCTATGTCAAATCGAGCTCCTCTTCCAGTCAGCAAATAATCAAGACCTGAAATAGTATAAGAAAATATATCAGTCATAACATTTACACCAGTTATGATTTTCGTAATGTATTTAATGTCTTTAGCAGTCGTTTTATGTGGCTCTGAAACTTGGAGCACAACTAAAAGAGATGAAGCCTTATTACAGGTTTTCGAACACCTGGTCTTACGACCAATCTTTGGACCCATCAAAGATGCAACAGTGGGGAATAGAGAGTGAGAAGCAACAACGAAATTCATATAAGTCACCACTGATCACTGGCATCATGAGAGCTAATAGACTGAAATGGATGGGGCGTATTGAAAGAATATCAGATGACAGAAAAGTGAAAACTATACACAAGAAAGATGAACGGTTGTAGCCCACAAGGCAGACCAAGAAGTCGATAGAGAGATAATGTCCAGACAGACCTGCAAACACTTGGTGTCACCAACTGGAAAGAGAAGGCCAACCCGAGATATGAATGGAGGTGGGTGATATCTGCAGCAATGAACCTCAAGGGCTCGAAATGCTGAAGAAGAAGATTTAATGTCTTGAATCTTGAACATGGAGGTTAATGTAAATTTTTATAACACGTTATCTGCATATCCTTTACAAGACCTCGCAAACCTACATCAGCCTTTGTTGGTGATTTATGGTTTTACCCTGCAATTTCATGTTCAATAGTTTGCTTTCTAAACTGTCAGCATATCATCATCATCATCAAGTGCTTTGACAACTGGCGTGAGTGATCATACCTCTCCACAATCTGTGATCTTGAACACCATGTTCAGTTTGTGTGCTGACACACCTCCATGCCGTGACACAAGGCTGTTAAGAACTGTCTCCTATTGTCTTCCTCTGTCTTTTTTTCTACAGATCTTTTGGGTAGTCACAACATGCTCCAGTTTCCATCTCATAACATAACCAAACAATGATAACTCTCTTTCTGATGTTTGTAATAAGCCTTCACCTCTTTCAAAACGGCATCCCACATCATTGTTTAAATCAATGCAAAGCAGTCTTATGCCAAAATGCCTGCAGTTGAATCAACTGAATATTCTGAAATAATGAATTGCGATCATAACCCCCAAGCCACAAATGCTGACATCATGTGCCATGATAGCAATAACGTTTCTTCAGGCATGTATTCTGGCTTCATAAGTGTGACTGCCTGCCGATGATCATCATCTATGCCAGTCTTCCTAGTTTGTCCCAACAATTTCCAGACCTTCTTAGCTTATAATTTATAAAACAAAATGAAAGGCAATGAATACTGATGATACAATAAGAATAAAGATAAATGAAAAACAATGAATACAGTTGTTACAATTAGAATTAAAAAAAATTTTTTAATGAGAGGATCAACAGTGCTGTATGTTATCCCATATTATTGGTCTCTCTTTGCAGCATGGTGGTTCACCAGCCAAGAGCAGCATATAAAGCACAATACTCCTTCGTCCACTGATGACACCAGGGATTATTTAAATGCCTTCACTTGTGAACCAAAGAACAGAATGGGAAAACTGATGGGTATTTTATTTTTAAATCACCCCAAAACAAAGGAAATCCTGGAGCTCCAGGAATGTCTAACATTCTAGGTGTGCTGGGTTGGGGTTTAAGGTTAGGCTTAGTCGGTGTCTGTAAGGCAGTCGAGCTCACAAAGATCCTAACCCTAACCCATAACACCCCTAGAATATCTGACTTTCCCGGGAACTTGGGATTTCCTGTTTGGGGTGAATTAAAAATAAAGTGGGGGTCTTCATGGCGAAGAGGTCAAACTGTTTGCCCCGCGCTCTAAAGGTTGTGGGTTTGTTTCAAGGCTGTGTCGTTCAGTTGACGAGTGCAATTTTTACGAAGATTCCTGGGAATCATCACCAGAGCTACAGTGTTTGTGCTCTAGGTGATGCTCTTGGCAGGCAGCTAGCTATTCTGTGGCGAGAGACTGAGCCATACTGGATAAAACCCAGTACAATGAAGCTGATCCTCTCGACTTAAACCTTTTCAAAAAAAGTACCAACTGATGACTTTCAGATTGCAGGGAAAAACTACTGGCTCTCTTCCTAACTTCTACCCCCGCAGTATTGCGGCCTGAAATATCCGTTCCGGGCGCAGTCCAATTAAAAATACGGACTTGTCGGAGGAACAAATTGCAGCAAAACTAGGAGTACCTTACAATGTCACGAGACGCAACATTGCAGACGATAGTAGCAGACGATAAAAGCGACCGGTGACAATGTAGAGCATTTTCTGCAGACGATAAAAGCGACCGTTGACAATTTCGAGACAGTACAGATGATGAAAGCAGACGCAGATTAGCAATACTGTTCTTCCGATTGAGGTTTTAGCAGCGGTAGATGCCAGACTTGTTGGCATGCGCAAAACGCGATTAAACTCACCGCTACGCGCGGTGCGGATGGGGACTAAACTAGGTGTCTGGAACTCACGAGCAAAGTAATTGGAGGAAGTTGCAGGAGATGCAGTAGCTGCCACTCGTGAGTCCCAGCCATCTAGTTTAGCCCCTATCCGTAGCGGCGCGGGGGATATGCTCGGCGGTGAGGCATAGTCACAGAAACAGGTCCGCAAGTAACATATCGCTGAGACCCTGTTAGAGCATTTGTTTAGTTTTTCCGAGCTGATCCTAGATTTGCTGCGATTTGTTCATCGGCAGAAAGTTCGACAATGGAAAGTGTCAACTGTCGCTATTATTATTGTCTGCTACTATCATCTGCAGTGTTGCGTGCATCTCTTAGAATTGTCAGGTAATCAGAAACAATAAGAAACAGGTCCGCAAGTAACATATCGCTGAGACCCTGCTAGAGCATTTGTTTCGTTATACGGAGCCGGCATATTTTTAATTCGACTGCGGCCGTAACGGATATTTCAGGCCGCAATACTGCGGGGGTAGAAGTTCGGAGGAGAGCCAAACTACTTAACCACTTTTCTGCACCAAAATAATACAAAAGACAATAGAAGCCTAGTCTTGTAACAGTATGAAATTTGTGTAAAAAACACGAAAAAAATATAAACAATTAGAATATTTTACCAATGCCAACAAAAACACTTGGCTACACAATGTCCTGCATTATACATTCACACCAGTACAAGAGCACATTCACAGTATGAGATTCAGTACAGGAGGCGAGAGAGTGCTGCAGAAAATGGTCAAAGATGTCCCTGTCTTCTTAGCATGAGTATACTGACTGCCTGCCTATAGCCTTGCCTTAGACCTATGCTTCATCTGTGGAAGTGTGGATATTATTATTCTCAGTAAACCTTAGAACATCAATCAAAGTGACTATATTTTAAGAAAGCATTCATCGTCCTGTCTTGATGTCACAGAGGAGAGACTGTCCTTAAATAAAACAATCTAAGGCCAGAAGTTTTTCTATTCTGGTCAGATGAGATTACTGATCACTACTTGAGTGTAACAAATGTGTCGGCATTTTATTTTACTGGTTTTGTTTCTACTGACTACTGACTTACTCAGTAAGTTACTGGTTATTAATATTATACTGTAGTCAGTAGTGTTGGTTTTTTTAAACCAATTCCACGCTGAACAGTCTCCTACCTTCCGCTTATTGAATAAATGACAATTAAGCCTATAAGTTATGTACCACTACAAGGTTAACAGACAATCAGAGGAGATTTGGAAGGATATATATTATATGAGGAGAGCAAGAGAAGAGACAGACCACTGAAGGAAGCCTTCTTTAGAAGACCTCTGTCACTTCACTTGGATTAACGAACTTAAAACTAAACAGCTTTAACTTTAACACTCACCAACAAAGACCAGCACAAATATTGCTACGCTGAATATTATAAGATAAACCGGGTAAAGTGAGACTCCAAATCGTTTTGTAGGTTCCGTTGGAACCTGCAAAACTCCTGGGGGTGTCCTGTTGGATTGCATTTTCTGACTTCACCTTCTTGGGTCTTCAGTCTTCGCTCATATGACTGACTCTCGTGAGATTCCGGTTGGCGAGAACACAAATCACCGACAAACGCCGTACATTATTATCACTTTTACCGGCACCTCTTTTAGTTGAATCTTCATCATTTGTGAATGAGAATATCTACTTTACAACAGTAGTATTTTGATCTCGATTACACAAGGTCAAAAAAGCTAAATTTATATTTTTGATTAAAGTGGCTATGATTTAAAAAAAACCAGTACAAATTGATTATAATCTTCTTGTTGTTGGTGTTCTTGTTGTTGTCATTGGGCAGACTTGCTCTTACAGCTGAAAATTTTAGATTAAATTAACACAATACGGGAGGGATTAAATGACAGACTAAAAATATAAAATAAAATATATCTAGTAAGTGTAAAATGTATATTGACATATTATGCGTGTTTGTGTGTGTGTGTATGTGCGTTGTTCTGGGGAGGAGGGGGGGCGAGGGGGTGTTGAACAAAAATTAATTTTTTGTAAAATATGAAGCAACAGATTACCGAATAATACCGCAAGTACAGTATTTTTCTATGTTCACGTGATGTTAGGTAACAAGGAAGTTCTACCGGTTTCAATCGTAGCCCTATATGGTAGGTTAGTTGCGTATCCTTTACAGGACGTTGCAGAACCAACCCCAACAGCACCTGGCTGTTGTGTGATTTTTCTAGCATATTTACGTCCAGTAGTTTGCTATTGCTTTCTAGACGGTCGGCTTTCTTGATACCACTGTCGAAACCAACGCAAGGCGCATGGCCCGAAGCTGGGATCGAACCCGGCATTACGAAGCGTTCGCATCTACTTAGCCACAGAGCCGACAAGCCTATATGAATATGAGATGAAAATTTCATATTCGTTAATTGAGTCTCCTTTATATGGCGTAGCAAACTAACACTCTCAGATAACTCCAACTTCTTTGGTTAAATATTCTCAAAGAGAAATTACATATGATTATCAAAATTATTAAAAAGTACCCTTAAAATATATCAAACATAACAACAAACAATACACCTACTATCATCTGTTGCAATTATTATATAATCTATGCAGTATTAAACAAACTAAAGTAATTCACAGTCATGAATATTCAATATTGAAATAGGAGTAAAACATGGTATATCCCAATAACAACCTAGTTAGGTTGAACAGGATATTCTTGTTTAAACTAGTAGTAGTAATTATTCGAAAATACTCTGTACATTCCTCAGGGAAGTGGGGTATGTATTGTTAATCGAGTTCTCAGAGTATATATTAGTTTTTTTTTTTTAATGTATATATCTTGGAATTTTTTATATGACTAAAATGTCATTTGTATTTGTTTCAACAACTCCTACTGCTATTACAACTACTGCTGCTGCTACAACAACTACTGCTGCTGCTGCAACTGGTTCTGCTGCTGCTGGTGCTACTACTACTACTACTACTACTACTACTACTACTACTACTACTACTACTACTACTACTACTACTACTACTGTTACTACTACCACTCAGGGACAGCTCCAGATATTAGGTCATTCAGCTCGAACTGGAAATCCTGTTTTTTTTTTTTTTTTGTGAGGCTGTCGTGGCCGGTCGGTGGTAACGGTTGTTATCGAGTAGATTTATACACAAATTGAACTGCAATTTAATTAATTTGCAACACGTATTATTGAATGGACTATGGAAAAATATTTATTTTCAAAATGATAATTGATTCAATAACACATGTTGCAAATTATCCGGCCGCCGGACACCCACCAAACTATAAACACTTTTGACACAAAGTGCCACATGCGCACGAGGATCACTCGGGAAGCGGTCCCTGAAACCCCGTTCAACCCATACGTTGTTTTATAGTAGGGCCCTCGGAAACAGATAGGCTGGGGCTCCCTAACAACAAAACATTGCATCCCATATTGGGACACAGTGCTACTAACGGCAATTGCAGCAAGAGTAAGTAAGTAAACTTTACCCTACCAGGACATCATTCTGATCAATAAACACCCGGTGTTACAAAGTGCCACTATGCGGATGAGGATCACCCGTGGAAAGGTCCCGGAAACCGCGTTCAACCATTATATTATATTACTGCCCCTGGCAACAGCAAGGGTGGGGCTTCAAAAAAAAATCCATCCCCTAAGGGGGATGACGAAGATACAGTTGCAGTAAGATGGTGGGTAGGTAGGTAAATAAGTTGTACCCTATCAGGACATCGCACAAGCGATAACCACCCGGTGACACAAAGTACCATCATGCGGATGAGGATCACGCGTGGAGAGGTCCCAGAAACCCCGTTCAGCCGTTGGACCATATTTGGACCCCCCGACAAAAGTCAGGGTGGGGCTTCAAATAACGAAAAATTGCATCCCACCCTAGGGGCAGCATGGGTAATAAATCGTACTGCAGCAAGAGAAGGGTGTCCTGTGTTGACCTTACTCTACGCGTCACTTTGAATTTAAATTATATACTATTTTAGCGCCAGAAATGCCCTGGACTCGATTTTTATACTCTTATTTTCTACGTGTCATTGTGTCTGCCTATCTCCTTCTTCTTTGGCATTATGAGCCCTTGAGGTTCATTGCAGCAGATATCACCCGCCACCATTCATCTCTCTGGTTTGCCTTCTCTTGGTGACACCAAGTGGTTGCAGGTCTGTCTAGACCTTATCTCCCTATCATCTTCTTGGTCTTCCTCGTTGTCTACGACCATTCATCTCCTTTGTGTATAGTTTTTAATTCTCTGTCGTCTAACATTATTTAAGTATGGGCCAAGCCATTTCAGTTTATTAGCTCTCATGATGCCAGTGGTCAGTGGTGATTTAAACAGATTATGAATTTCGTTTTTGCTTCTCACTCTCCATTCCCCGCTGTTTGCATCTTTGATTGGTGTCTTCCTATAGCAGGGCCAGCCACCGCCTTCTCTAAAAAGAGAAGACCGTGGGCCAGCGAAGGCCTAGCAAGTGTCCAGCAAATTATTGCCAGCTGTATTTTACTACTGGTCTTTCACTGCTGGCCCCTGACTATCCCTATTTTTAAATTATGGCCCCTGTGTAAATTTAGTTTAATATCCCTGGCATATAGAATTAACTTTCACAGCAAGATTGTAATGAAAATAAATAAGTAAAGAAGATATAAAGGATCCTTTTCCACGCCTTTAGGCGTATAGGGCATATAGCGGTAGACCTATATTTTATAGACCAATGGGCACAAGATAGGTGATATGGTCAGCATCAGGCCGGCCGCTTTTACTTCCCGGGACTGCACCCCGTACCCACTCAAGGTCGACCCGGGAGCCAAGGTCATTTTTGGAAAAAAAAGGAAAAAGTCCGGCTCCGCCAGGGAACGAACCTACGTCCTTCCGATCCGCAGGCCTGTGTCTAGCCACTCCGCCACAGCGACTTTCTGAAAAGATATAAGGCCAAAATAAAATAAATTAGAGAACTGCTGTGGTGTAGCGGCTAGATACTCGCCTGAGGATCGGAAGGTCGTAGGTTCAGATCCTCAAAGAGCTGGATTTTCCGCGATCGACACAGCCTTAAATTGGTACCAGGTAAAGTCCTGGGAAGTTCGCAGAAGTAAAATGCTGACCAAATCGCCTTTCAAATGCCGATTGCTCTGTAAAATATAAGTATGGCCCTCTATGCCTAATACGCTTAACGGCGGGAAAAAGAGTCATTTTTAAACTAAAATACATCTTCAATGAAACGAACCGGCAGTTAGCCACAGTCAAACATGGAAGTCTTTGTGTGGCCATTGTGAAGATGGTAAAAGTATCCGTTAAAATCGGGAGGACCGATTTCGTTGCTCCCTGTCATTTCTTCATGGCTCAATTGCTATCTGCAGAACTGGTTGCATCACACAGCTCGATTTCCGTAGCTTCAGCGATGGTCCCCAGGGATCGAAGTAAAAAAGGGTTATCGAAAACTAAATCCACGACCTTCGAAAAATGAGACACACTACTCGACCATTTTGCTTGGAAGACAACCTTGTTAACATGGTTCAGCCGTCTGTCTGCCTGCTGTTCTCAGTGTTGTAGTTCGACTTTCACTCCGTCATGTGGTTTGAGAATGCACATGTTTCGGGAACCATTGTGACTTGTTGCTGAAGCTACGGAGCTCGTGTTTTGTGCAACAGTTTCATGTGGAGCCTTCCGCTCTCTATTCAGATGAAAAGAAAGAGAGGGGAAGATGCTGGTGGGGGAGGGGTGAGAGGAGAGCAAGTAGGGAATAAAACCCAAAACAATTAAATCAATATCTTTCGCGTTTAAACTTTATTTTATCAGTTCGGACTAAGAACCATTGATGCCCTAAATACTCAAAAAGATTGTGAATTTCCCTTGGACCTCCTCTTTTCCTCAGTCCATTTGTTTCCAATCTAAAGATCTAAAGACATTCATTCATTCACTGTCATATTGTGCCATTTGTTTCCCATCTAAAGACATTTATTTATTCATTCACTATCATATCATATTTCAAGAATGGATTGAAACACTAAGCACTTCACGAATATCTGCCCTAACCTTTATCTTTGGGCCAGGTTATGCGGGTGTTCAAGGGAACGAGAGGGCAGACTATCATGCTGACTCTGCAGTTGCTTTGGCTGGCCCAGTACTGGACAGAAGTGATGTTATCAATGCTATGCGCTGCACTTACCATACCAAGGAGCACACCAAAGGACATGACTCAATATCCAGTGTTGCCACTTTTCTTCGCCAAAAAAACATCCAAAACGGAATCAACAAATATCTTTAAAGAAACATCTAAATTTGCGTGGAAAACATCTAGAAAAAACATCCACATGGAAAGAGTCACAAATTACACAACAATTGATATTATCTATATAATCATGTCCTCATCTTTACTGAAGTCTGCCTTACAAGATCCACAGGATAAACTTAGCTTGGATGATGAAGTTGAAGCTTCAGATCCAAAATGACTCTGGTATGCTTTAGCTGTTCCAATTTTTGTTAATACCCAATC